GCCTCTCGTGAAGACAAGGCCAGCCGACACCAACCCCAAGTTTAATTAACAGATATAATGATTCATAATCAAGTCATTAATAATGATAAATCCCAAAATAAAGCGAAATATATAAACTGCGGAAAACAAAACCCAGCCCGACATCAGGGTGTCACAAGTCACGAGCATCTACTAAGGTCTGAACACAACTAAGAATCTAAAATGTATTAAATATAGTCTAAGGAAGACAAGAGGGAGAAAAGCAGTGCTGCGAATATCGGGCAGCTACCTTGCTAACTCCAATGACTCTGCCACTGAGCAATCAACACCCGCTACCGGGTTCAAAATAATACCTGAATCTGCACACAAAGTGCATGGAGTAATGTGAGTACGCCAACTCAGTAAGTAATAAAAGTAAATGAAAGCTGAGCAGTAAGAAAATACGCAAGCCACATAAACGCTAAAGCAAAGACAGTACATTTCCAATACAGTACAAAAATCATTTATTTCGTAAATCAAACTCAGTTTCAGTAAAAACCCTTTCCTTTTTAAAACATCTTCCAATGGTTTCAAAAGAGTGATAAAAACAGTGAGTAAAAATGATAGAAACGTAAACAGCCCCTCGGGTAAAACATGTACCATAAATCGCCCCTCGGGCATAATATCAACAGAACCAGCCCTTCGGGCTACCTCACAATCACTCGTAATCTGCCCCTCGGACATAACATGAATCAAGAACCGCCCCTCGGGCAACATAGATCAAGAACAACCCCTCGAGCTTCAATATGAAACAACAATAGCCCCTCGGGCTACAACACATCACACACACAGGGTACCCGCGCTCACTGGGGGTGTACAGACTCCGGGAGGGGCCCCTTACGGTCCAAGCACAATATCAAGCCATCTCGTGGCATAATCAATTCGGCCCTCGGCCTCGCATATCAAACAGAATCATCACACTGGGTACCCGCGCTCACTGGGGGTGTACAGACTCCTGGAGGGGCCCCTTACGGCCCAAGCGCAATAATAAGCTATCTCGTGTCATAATCAACAGGCTCTCGGCCTCATATCAATCACAGACCACCTCATGGCATAATAAATCATGCCCTCTGCCTCTCATATATCACAGTTGGTACCACATTCTGCGGCGCGCAGCCCAATCCCAAAGTATCCTCACAACACAGGCCCTTGGCCTTACTCAATCAGAATCTCACAAGCCACACGAGCAATAATAAAACATGATGCTCAGCTCAAAATATCTTCTAAAATATCATTAAGGTGTTTAAAACAGAGTAAACATGGCTGAGTTTTGAAAATAGTAAAATATAGCATGACTGAGTACCAGTATAAAGTCAAAATAGTGAGGAAATGACAGTAAATATCCCGTAAGGGTCCAAACACGGCATTTAGCCCCAAACACAATAATAGTTTCCAAGATATAACAATATCAAATAGTTTTCAAGTAAAATACACGACTTAATAGTCGTACGGGATGGACCAAGTCGCAAATCCCAACGGTGCACGACCCACACTCGTCATCTAGCGTGTGCGTCACCTCAAGGTAGCACAACGATGTGAAATCCGGGGTTTCATACCCTCAGAACAGTATTTAAAATTATTACGAACCTCAATCCAGTCCAAACTCTAGCTCGCGATGCCTTTGTCCCTCGAATCAGCCTCCAGATGCTCCAAATCTAGGCACAATCAGAACGTAACCATCAAAATATGCTAAAGGAACAAAGCCCACTCGAAAACAATCGAAAAACAACAAAATTCCCGAAATTACCAAAACCCGACCCCCGGGCCCACGTCTCGGAATTCGATAAAATTCACATCAATAGATTCCTTATCTCCCCACGAGTTCATACATATCAAAAGTTCTGAAATCCAACCACAATTGCTCCTTCAAATCCTCAATTAAAGGCCTAAGTTTCCAAGCCCTAGTTTCCTAAATTTTTACCCTTAATTTCCACTAATATAATGATTAACCAATGGAAAATGATCATAAACTCAAGTAATGAAGCTTGGGGAACTTACCCAACTGATTCACCTCGATTTTCCCTTGAATTCACTGCTCGAGCTCGTTTGCCGTCTTAAAAAATGGAGTACTTAGCCAAAAATCCGCGAAGGAAACATTATATACTTCTGGCCCAGGGATTCCGCATCTGCGGCCCTGATAGAGCTTCTGCGGTACCGCTTTTGCGGTCCATGAACCGCTTCTGCGGTCATCACTTAAGCCGCATCCCGCACCTGCGACCCTCTCTCTGCATCTGCGGTCGCGCTGGTGCAATTCACATATCGCATCTGCGGTTTCACTCCACCAAGACTTTGGCCGCATCTGCGGCTCCAACCACGCATCTGCGATACTGCACCTGCGGTCCCCTAGACGCATGTGTGGTTATGACAGCAATGGGAGATCTTCAGCTGCCAAAACCAACTTCCAAACTTTCGCCAACCATCCGAAATCACCCCGAGGCCCCCGGGACCTCAACCAAAAGCACCAACAAGTCTTATACTACCATTCAAACTTATACCAATCTTCAAACCACCTCAAACAACATCAAATCAACCAAAACACATCGGATTCAAACCTAAGGTTCAAAAAATCTTCAGAATTCCGCTTTTGATCAAAAGTATACCAAACCACGTCCGAATGACCTGAAATTTTGAACACACATCCCAAGTGAAACAACGGAGCTACTGCAACTTCCGGAATTCCATTCCGACCCCTATATCAAGATCTCACCTATCAACCGGAAAACGCCAAAAATCCAATTTCGCCAATTCAAGCCTAAATCTACTCCGGACCTCCAAAACACATTCCGATCACGCTCCTAAGTCCCAAATCACCTAACGGAGCCAACCAAATCATAAAAATTCTGATCCGAGATCATATACCAACAAGTCAAATCTTGGTCAAACCTTTCAAATCTTAAGCTTCAAACTGAGAACTGTTTCTTCAAAATTCATTCCGGTTACCCTAAAAACCAAAACCGATGAATTACATAAGTCATAATACATAACACGGGGCTAGTCATGCCCGAGAACTGGTCAGTGAAGTGCAAAAGCTCAAAATGACCGGTCGGGTCGTTACAAGAGTAGCATGGAATGTCACACAGATTGATCCTCGATTGGCTCACGCTATGTGGTATAAGTGGGGAGGATCCATCACTTTAAGCATCATCATCTTCCTTCACAATAGAGTACTTGGATCCGAAAAGGTAAAATAGAGCAAGAGTTTTCTTGATCTTTTCAGCAACATCGCTTCCTCCTTCGGGTGCATTTGTGGAAGATCTTGCTCCTTTTGAGGATGAAGATCCGAAACAGGGGTTGGCACGGATGGCACTTGGGGTTCTTGTTGTCCTAACGAGCTTGCTTTGCTCCTCATAACTGGTCCAAAGCTTCCAAAGGTAACATCGAGGATTCTTTTCACATCAGCATAGAACCTGGAATTTGCAGCCTTAGTGGAAGTTGAACTGGAGTTGATTTTCTTTGAAGCCATTTTAATGTTCTTGAACTTTGGTAATTGAAAAGTTGAGATGAGAGGTAGAGATTGTCCCACTGGGCTGCGAGAATTTGTAGATAATAAATTGTGTCAGGAAAATAAAATCAAGACCGAAAGATATCCCAACAATCATAGTATTTGATTTCAAATAATATGAGTGTACAATCTCTAGGAATCCTCTGATTCTTCTTTCCAATAGTAAATAAATTCAAGGGCCCTTGAGATTGTCTTTTCTAGGTTATGAAGATCCCTATTTATAATTGTGGGAGGGAAGAGTTGTGATAAGAATAAACTCTTTCCGACCAATCAAATTGAAGTGTGACAAGGCCGCATTTGATTAGCTAGAACATGTCACTTGCACATGTGGCACGATTTCATTGGCCCTTTAATTTGATTTGGCATGCCTTGTCATCTTGACAGATAGCACGATCCTATTGTCTCTTCCGTTTGACTTGGCGTGCCACATCATTTGACACGTGGGCATCAATTTGGGCCTCTAGGAAGATGAAATCTTGGGCTTAATGAAGTGGGCTCATCACTTTAGCCCAATTAAATGGGCTAGCCCAATGGATTAAGACTTATTTGTTTAATTCATATATATAGGACTTATATAATTAATTCAATTTATCAGCCCATAATATTTATTTGGACCAATGTATCTTGAACTTAAAATATAGTCCAAATTATTTTGTGGATTTAATTTTAATATAATTTATATGCCTACAACATGCCATTGGATAGATGATAATTTTTGTATGCAAAAACATATTATTGCTTTTAAATATGATGAAGATCAAAGTCCTACTGGTGCATTTATAAGTAATACTATCCATGAAGTTGTTATATTTTACAATCTTTTAGAAAAAGTTTTGTATATATCATTTGATAATGCTTCTAACAACAATGTTGCTAATACACTAATAAAATTGCATCTACACCCACCACTTCCTGAAATATTTCATGTGAGGTGTGCATGTCATATTTATAATATAATTGTTAAGAGTGGCCTTGAATTATTTAGAAATGAGATCACTTTAGTTAGAAGAGCTGTTGGTGTAATTCAAAAAAATAATAGAAGTCCCAGATTAAATGCATTTAAGGATAAATGTGTACAATATGGACTAAAATCAAGACTCATGCCTGAAGAAATAGTTACCAGGTGGAATTATACTTATTTATTCTTAAGATGCTATTATAAATATAAAATGCCTATAACTAAAGTTGTTAATTCTCATTGTATCGATCCTAATCGTTTGTTAACATCTAGAACTTGGGATGTCATTGAAGATGTTGTAAACAAATTTATGTAGCTACACTTGAGTTTTCTAGAGCTTATTATCCTACTATTGCAAATGGTTTAGTTTATATTGCTGAAATTTCTCTTTTACTCCATAATTTGAAGAAGAGAGAAGGATATAGTTCTATTGTTGAATCTATGCTAGATAAATTTAAGAAAAATCTCTATCTAATTTCCCCCATTTACCTAATTGGTGCTATATTAAACTCTTCTATCAAAATGGCCACTTGTCGCCAATTAATCACTGCTTTATATGTTTATATGGATATTGGACCAATTGAAACCCCTGATGTTGAAACTTGTATTTCTGATCTACACAAACATTTACAAACTTTGTATAATTATTATGCTAACATTGTTGATGCTTCTGCTGTTGTAGATGCAAATATTCCTTCAAGTTTAGTTTCAACATCTGCATCCGGTGCTTTGGAGGATAATGATGGTGTTGAAGATTATTTGATTTGGTCTACACTAGGAGAGCATCAACAAACTAGTAGCAGGAATATTGATGAACTCCAATTCTACTTGCAAAAGTCACAAGAGACCCACATAAAGGATTTTCTACCGCTGGGTTGGTGGAGGAGCAACTCAATCAATTTTCTGTTCTTTCGGCCATGGCTCAAGACGTGCTAAATAGGGCTGGGCATATATCGGGTAAAACCGATAACCCGAACCGTTAATTATTTATTGGGTTAACGGTTTAGAATTTTTTCACTATTGGATTATCGGTTCGGGCCTCGGTTTGACAATCTGTTATTGGGTTAACCGATAACTCAATAAGGATTAACGAAATTACTACTTTACCCTTAAGTATATACATATGCAGATATGCTAGGGCTTCATTCTTTCCTATTCTTTCTTAGCCTCAGCCGCATTCTTCAGAGTTCAGACTCTTCACTCTTCAATTGGACAACTGTTTGTAGTGTTGAATTATTAGTTGCAGATTTTATGGCTTAGCAGCAACATTATGTTGATGTTTGTAGAGTTGGAAACTGGAAAGTTGTAGCAGCAACCTTATGTTGAATATTAGTTGCAGATTCTTTGTTCAATGTAGTATTTGATTATGTTTGTTGCAGATTCTTTGTTCAATGTATTGTTGTTTACATTGAATAATAGTTGCCGATATAAAATTGTTTTAGCACAATTAGTAAGACATGTGATACAACAACTGTATTGCAGGGGTCAGATTAAGTCAAAGCTAGCAGGAAGATTAGCACAATTAGTTGTGTCCACTGTCCAGAACCGATATAAAGTTGTTTTATAAAACTGTTCTAGTTGTGGCCTGAAACGAGTTTTAAAACTATTTTACTCTTCTCTTTTTTGCTTAACTCTAGATTGAGTTATCTTATCGGGTAAACCGATAACTGAACCGATAATGATCGATTACCGATTAACCGATAACCTATAACTAATATCTTATCGGTTTGGTTATCGGTTTATCATATATGCTAAACCGATAATATTCATAACCGAACCGAACTGACCGATGCCCACCCCTAGTGCTAAATGTGCCAATTTCAACAGTCGCATCAGAGAGCGTACTTTGCCAAGCAAGGCAGCAGCTAGGAGATACTCGTCATTCATTGGGTAGCAACGCTTTGAAAATTTTAGTGTGCTTCAGAGATTCGATAAGATTAGAACTGTGAAATCAAGGCGTGAAGAGGTAGAGAACGGAGGACCAAGAGATTGGAGATATAATGGTTTATGGTTCCGATTCAAGCAATGCTGGAAACCAAGAACCTCATGTTGACATGGATGAACTTACAAAATAGTGTAAAGCATGCGATGTACTCTTTCTTATTTTATAATTGTTGTAAACTTTTAATTTGCAAGTTCAAAAATAAAAAAAAATCAAAATAGAACTTGCAAATTAATTTGAAGTATTATTCATTATTCAATGAAATATAAAATGAAAGCCTTTGGAGTTTGATCCTTACATATTGGTCTTATTAAATAATTTTTTGTAGCCACTTATTTTCAATTTTAAAACTTTAAAATTCAAATTTCAATTTTAAAACTTTAAACTTTAAAGTTTTAAAGTTTAATTCTAAGCCTTAAAATACTTATTTCCTTAATTAAAAGTTTGCAAACACTTGAGTATCAATAATATTGAATAAGAAAAATACAATATACTTAAAAAAAATGTAACCCGGCCCGGTCCGGACTCGCTAAGACCGAACCCGGACGGGCCCTTATTAACCCGGAATTTTCCAACCCGTTACCAGCCTGGTTAGTCAGCCCACTATCCAGCCCGAACCACTAACCGGACGGGCTGTTTTTTTTCCGTGTCCAGCCCGGACCAGCCCGTCCGGTTAACACTCGTAGGACTCTATTGTATGTAGTCTTACTATGCATTTTTACAAAAGCTTGTTTTTACTACTCGAGCCCGTAACCTCTTGATCACATGGCAGCAACTTTACCATTTATGCCAAGATTTACTTCATATAGCTGTTAAAAATGAGAAGAACTTGTGATCAGGGGAGATATAATTGTCTTGTAACTTTGGGAGGAAGGAGTTTCAGTCTTTCCAAAACACGCAAATCAATAAGTCAAAGTTGAGAAAGGTGGAGAATCTATTCCATTACATGTTTTCGTTGGTAATCTTTTGAATTTCAACTTTAAACCACGAGCTTTCATCCAAAGAAAGATACCCTCTTACGAGTTTATGACTTCTCTCTTCATCCTATTTTAATGTCTTACTTTCTTTATTTCCTCCCCTCAGTATAATTAAGGAATATTTTTTTTTTTCTTTACTAACACTTGCCAAGATATCAACAAAGATCCAACTTATCTCTAACACATGATTTGAACTCTCAATCTATATCAGTGCAAGACTAAAACCTCATGTGTAAGATATAAAGGAAAAATCTACAATTTTAGCTCCCATATCATGTTGAATGGTAAGAATGACGTCAAACTTAAACTTTATTGATTTTTTTGTTTATTGTTCGAAGTGCATCAATTCTCAAAAGCCATGTTTCTGACCTATGCAATTTATTTGTCTAATTTAGTTCTTAATGAAGGTACTAGAAACTAAAGGCACTTTAACAAATGATTCTTTTTCCTAAGTGAGTCGTAGTAGCTAATGGAGTACTAAGTTCTTTTTGTGAGAACGACAACTACTTGTAAAATACGCTTCATTTTCAACTTTCAACCAAATCAACAAATTCTTTTTCACCCCTTCGTATCGACGGTTAACAGTAAATTATTTAATGGAATAATAAGTACCCTTACATCTTCAACCAGAAGTCTCGAATTTAAATTTTGGGTATAGAATCACCTTTATTGAGGAGTGTTTTACTCTTGACGTGAGACTTCCTAACGTGAATACAAATCTGATCGGATCCTACTGGAATACAAATCTAATCGGGTCCCACCGCAGATACAAACAAAAAAAATAGGAAATTAAGACCATAAAAATGACAAGGATGGGAAAAGAGTGGAATGGTTAAAGGAGAAAGGGAAAGCATGGTCTTCAAATCATGTCACTCCTCCCAAAATCTTTTTCTCATCACTCTCCTTTTCCATACTTAGTCCTTAAGATTTCTCTTCTTCATCTTCTCATCTTCTTTTTCACAGTTTACAACATAAAACAAGATCCAAAACCCAAGCCAATTTTCAATGGAAGACACAATTACAACTCCTAATTACATCTCAAAACAACAGAAATTAACCTTTAATGTTCCAGTAAACCATGCAGATTCTAGCAGTAAGTTTTATTATCATTTTTCCTTTAAAGCTATGCTAGTTCTGATATTTCTAGTTATACTTCCACTTTTTCCTTTGGAAGCTCCTGAAATTATCAGCAAATCTCTACATACTGGAAGTTGGGAAATTCTTCAGCTTATATTAGTTGGTATAGCTGTTTCTTATGGCTTATTTAGCAAAAAAAGTGATGATGAGTCAGACAATGAATATCATAGTAATTCAAAGTTTGATAATGTTAAATCTAGATTACTTGAGGTTTCATCATTTTTTGATGATGAGGCTAAAAACCATTGTTTGTCTGATGAAAACAGAGTAGAAACTTTGAGTAATTATAAGTACCATAGTGGTAAGCCAGTAGTAGTTCAAGAAAAACACAGAGCTATAATTAGTTCAAGAATTGATGAAAAGCCTTTGCTTTTACCAATTCGGAGTTTGAAATCTCCTGTTGCTGAGCCAATCTCAACCACTTCACCAAAATCTCTTTCACCTTCACAATCCATTTCATCTCCAAGAAAGTTTCCATTTTCATCGGAATCTGAAGACAATATTGCTGACAATATTGTGAGGAAAAAGAGTTTTCTTAAGTCCTCTCCGCCGCCGCCACCTCCACTGCCACCACCAACACCAACACCTGTTCTTAAAAAATCAACTCTGTTGAAATCAAGCTCTATTATAATAGATGAAAAGGCTGTTTCTGATAAGGAAGTGAGGAGAAGTAGTAGGAGTGTGCCATTTGAGGGGAAGTCAGTTCGAACAATTAGGCCATTCATCGGAGCTGCTAGAGCAAGAGTGCGATATGCTCAAGATTTCATAAATGGAAAGGCAGAGGGAATAAAGAATAAGGAAGTTGAACAAACTTTTGTCGATAAACAGATGAATGAAACGTCCCATTTTGTACCAAAGCCAGCATTGATGGAATTTGTAGGAGAAGAGAAGAAAGTGTTGTCTGTTGAAAAGGTAGTTGTAGAAACTGATGAGGATTCAGATGATTACTTTGAAGAGAGCACAGGAAATGTAGAGGTAGCAAACAAGAATGTTAGTGATAAGGCAACTGAGAGTACTGTTACTGATGTAGACAAGAAGGCAGATCAATTCATAGCTAAATTTAGGGAACAAATCAGGCTTCAGAGAATTGAGTCCATTCGAACATCTGCTACAAACCTTGTAAAATGATCTTTGTTCAAACTTCAAAGTGAGGTGATATAAGAGCTATTTATCAGTCTTATGGTTAGAGAGTAATTTACTTGCAATTAGAACAGTTTTATAGTTAGCTAGTAGTAATTTACTTGGTATTAGAGAAGTTAACTTGTGTTTTTTTTGCCTTTTTAGTTTGTATTTCCAAACTTGTCTCAGTAGTATCATAGTGGCTACAATGCTAATATGTAACAACACCATTATTTAGTGATTCAGTCAATTAAGCAACTGTCTTTGTGATGATTTATGTTAATGCTTCATATAGATCTTTTGTAATTCCAGAAATGCCAAAGCATTAACCTAGAGACCTAATGTGAACTCATGAATTTGCATTTTGTTGTGATAGAAGGTTCATTGTGGGGGTCAGTTTGTAAATAGAGAAAGCCGGAGGTTAGAAAAACTAGTTAGTTAGAGGCGGTTAACATTATTCTATATAAGAACAGTGTACGCGTGTATTAACACAACAAAAAATGAAAATCTTCTCTCTTCCTTCTCTCTAGAATCTTCCTCCATTGTAGATTCATTGCATGTTTCAATTACTAGAGATAGACATAGAATCTGTGCAAATTGACACATTTCCTAGCTCATCAAAATATTTTCTGAAAAGCAGTACTCCATTTGGTTGGGCGATAAAATCCAACAATTGATGACACACTAGTCCAACAAATTTCATGTCCTCATCTTAAGTATTCACCAAGCATTATTAAGACAGTCTAATTTCAAGAACGAAAGCCCAACAAATTTGAGATTAGGTTTGTTATCCATAAGTCGACATCTCAGCCCAAACATCATCTTATTAGACTGCTCACTAGAATCTTCCTCCATTGTAGATTCATTCTATTGCATGTTTCAATTACTAAAGATAGACATAGAATCTGTGTAAATTGACATGGTATCAGAGCAGCGAAGCTGAGGACGTTAGCTCCGACGAGGCAGCTAAAATTTGGGGAACTTCATTTAAGACGAAGCAAAATTTCAGTCCGCCATGGCAGGAAACGAGGTAACCTCACTCGAGCACAATCATCCTCTATTTCTACAAGCAACAGATGCATCAGGTCTAGTTTTAGTTCCAATTAAGCTCACAGGGCCAGAAAATTATGACGTGTAGAGTAGGGCAATGAAGCTAGCACTTATGGGGAAAGGCAAGCTTGGATTTGTAGATGGAACGTGTGTAAAAAGCTCGTATATAGGAGAAATAATAACACAATGGGAAAAATGTGATGCGATTGTACTGTTGTTGATTAATGGAATCACAGTTTCTAATGAATTGATGCCAAGTATAGTTTTTGCACCTAATGCTAGGAAAGTATGGAGTGATTTTAAGGAGAAATTTGATAGATGTAGTTTGACTAGAATATATCATCTCTCGAAAGAGATTGCTAGTCTTAAGACACTGTCTCTGTAACTACTTACTATACAAAGATGTCAGATTTATGGAGTGAATTGGATGTGTTGGTACCCCTGCCTTCATGTGATTGTGAAGAATCGAGGCCTTCATTAGAACACCTGAGAAATCAGAGACTTTTGCTATTTCTCATGGGCCTGAATGAGAGCTACAGCAATGTGAGAAGCAATGTTCTCCTCAAGAGGCCAGTTATGACTGTAAATGAAGCATATGCTATAGTGACACAGGAGGAGAGTCAAAGAACACTAGGTGTAGTTGACACAAATAGAGATCCATTGACGATGCTTGCAGGGAAAGGACAGACTTTTAAGCCTAAGAAATTTGGGTTGATTTGTGAACACTGTGGCTACAAGGGATATTTGAAGGAAAACTGTTACAAAATTGTTGGCTATCGAGCTGATTATAAAAGCAAAAAGAAACCTGAGCTAGGAGGAAACAGAACTTTTGCCAATGCTGCAAGAACTAAAGAAACAAGAGGGACAAGAACTCAGCCACAAGGCCATTTCCTCACTGAAGAACAATATCAGCAGCTTATAGGACTTCTGAACAAACAAGGAGGTGAAGAATGTTCCACTAACATGGCATGTATTATGACTTTACTATCCAATATTTCTTTAACTAGTTAGATAGTAGACGTAGGGGCAACCCATGATATTGCTCATGATAAGAATATAATGAGTAATACAAAGCAAGTTGGAGGACAGGGAGTTCAATTGCCAACCGGAAATAAAGCAGAGATAATGTATACTAGAAAGGCTACTATTTTAGGAGACAAATGTATAAAGGATGTATTACATGTGCCAGATTTCAAGTTTAATTTGCTGTCAGTATCAAAACTCACTAGAGACCTCACTTGCACAGTGAAGTTATTCCCTGATTTTGTGTGTTGCAGGGACTCTAGATTGGCAAGGTATTGGGGATTGGTAGAGAGTCTGATGGTCTATACATACTAAGGGAATATGCACAAGCAGCAGGCATAACAGTAGGAGCAGTAATAAAAGAGGAGCAAACACAACTTTGGCACTACAGACTAGGACATGCATCCTGGAACTCTACATAACATATCTCATCTCTACAAGACAAGATATGTGCAGGGAAATCAAGAAATTATAGCATTTGTCCTCTAGCTAAACAAAGTAAATTGCAGTTTCCTAACAATGTAAGCAAGTCTAAAGTAGCTTTTCAGCTGGTTCATTTAGATGTGTGGGGGCCTTACAAAATACCTACATATGACACAAAGTATTACTTTGTAACTGTGGTTGATGATTTTACTAGATACACATGGGTATGCTTAATACAATCTAAGTGTGAAATGTGTGTTGTATTGAAGAATTTCATTGCATTAATAAAGACACAGTTTGATATTGGAATCAAGACCCTGAGAGCAGATAATGGCACAGAATTCTTTAATTCCAAATGTAATGAATTACTGGCTGAAAATGGCACTATACACGAAAGTAGTTTCCCATATACTCCTCAACAAAATGGTATATTTGAGAGAAAACATAGGCATATTCTAGATGTTGCTAGGGCACTGAAGTTTCACAGTGGGATACCTCTGAAGTTTTGTGGTGAGTGTGTTAGGACAGTTGTATACTTAATCAATAGACTCCCAACACCAGTGTTACAAGGCAGAACACCCTATGCAATGCTCTATAGGAAGTCAGCTAACCGAGATCATTTGAGGGTGTTTGGATGTCAAAGCATTGCCTGTAATCTTCCTAATGGAGACAAGTTTGCCCCCAGATCAAGGAGTGCAGTGTTTGTTGTATATTCTGAGACACAAAAAGGTTACAGGATCTATGATCTTGATACTTATAGAGTCTTTGTTAGCAGGGATGTCAAATTTCAGGAATATGTTTCCCCCTTTAAACAGAGTTCTAGTAGCCATGATGAAGAAGCATTGTTTTCCCAGTCTGTAGAGACTATTTTTTATCCCAGTCTACCTCCTCCAACTGCTCTACAACATACACCATCATTTACCTCACAAGACGAAGATGACAACTCTACACCTGCCCGGACAGATCCTGGACTAGCATCAGACCTTCATGCTCTTGAGACTATTCCTGTTAATAAAGACCAAGAGTTCATTCTTTCCCAGGTGGAGGTATCATCTTCCCAAAATGACATGTTGGTCACCCCACCTTCAACTACTAAAATATCTTCACCTGCTACAACTATGAAACACTAGACCTCACAGACAAATCAAGCAACCAATCTGGCTCAAGGATTATGTCACCACTAAACTACCAGGCAAACACATCTATCCTAGGTCAAATCATCTGTCTTATAATCAACTTTTAGTTGCATATCAGACATATCTTCAAGCCTTTTCTGCTTCAATAGAACCTACATCATACAAAGAAGCAGCAGCAGACCAAGACTTGGTACTTGCTATGCAACAGGAAATTCAAGCTTTGGAGGACATTCATACATGGGAGATTGTAGATCTTCCACCTGATAAATAGGCTATTGGGTCCAAATAGGTGTATATAATCAAGTACAAAGCCAATGGTGAGGTTGATAGATTTAAAGCTCGATTGGTAGCTAAAGGCTACACATAACAGGAAGGCTTAGATTATCATAAAACCTTTTCTCCTGTTGCTAAGATGGTGACTATCAGAACTGTTATTGTTGTTGCAGTATCTAAGGGCTGGCCTCTTTTTCAAACGGATGTTAACAATGCATTCCTACAAGGGGACTTATGTGAGGAAGTCTACATGCATCCACCTCAGGGATTTCATAGTCAGGGGGAGTCTAAGGTATGTCGACTGCTTAAATCCCTCTATGGCCTAAAACAAGCCTCAAGGCAGTGGAACATCAAATTAACACATGCATTATTGCAAGCTGGTTTCATTCATAGCTCTCATGATCATTCATTATTCACCAAAAGGGATAGGGCTGATATTGTCATTGTATTAGTATATGTGGATGATCTTCTAATATCAGGAAGTGTAGTAGTTTGATACATGAGGCAAAGGAGACTCTACACAGCAACTTTAAGATGAAAGACTTAGGGGAGCTTAGATACTTTCTAAGAATTGAAGTGATGAGATCCAACAAGGGCATTTTACTCAATCAGAGAAAATATGCATTGCAACTGATCTCAGAAATTGGACTAAGTGCTTGCTAACTAGTATCCACACCAATAGAACATAACCACAAGCTTACCACAGTTGAGTATGATAAGCATGTTGACAATGTTGATGATGCAGAATTGCAGGAGGCAGGCAGCTATCAAAAACTAATTGGCAAGTTGTTGTACTTAACAATCACAAGGCCAGACATATACTTTACAGTCCAAGTCTTGAGCCAGTTCATGCAACATCCTAAGGAATCACATATGGAAACAGCTCTAAGGGTAGTCAAATATGTTAAAGGGAATCCAGGTTTGGGGATTCTATTGAAAGGTGGAGCTACTGATGAGTTCACATCATACTGTGACTCAGATTGGGAAGCTTTTCCAAACACCAGGAGGTCAGTGGCAAGTTATGTGGTAAAACTGGGTGATTCTTTACTGTCTTGGAAATCTAAGAAGCATCAAACTGTTAGTAGGAGCTCTGTAGAAGCAGAA